GTGGGAGTCGGCGAAGTGAAGAGCGGCGAGTATCTGGCATGCAGCGGGCCTCAGTAAATGTGGAGGTGACAGCACACCCTGGATAAAACCTCGGCGGGTTCCTCCTGGGCCTGCTCAGGGGAGGAGGGGAGTTCTGCCCCAGGAGCCTTCCTTCTCCAGCTCCAGCAGCCCTTGTCTTGTCTTGCTTTTAGGTGATGACAGAGGGTGGCCACAGCAAAGGGTTTGGCTTTGTGTGTTTTTCCTCTCCAGAAGAGGCGACGAAGGCCGTGACAGAGATGAATGGGCGCATCGTCGGCACCAAGCCGCTTTACGTGGCCCTGGCCCAGCGCAAAGAGGAGCGGAAGGCCATCTTGACTAACCAGTACATGCAGCGTCTCTCCACTGTGCGGGCCCTGGGTGGCCCCCTCTTGGGCTCCTTCCAGCAGCCCGCCAACTACTTCCTGCCCGCTGTGCCCCAGGTGAGGGCCTGCCCAAAAAAAATCTTTCCACACCAGCCAGGTAGAGCAGGAAGACGGAGCTTCACAGGCAGACGGAGCTTCCAGAAACGGCAGGTCTTTCTAACCCCACCTCTAAAGGGGTAATAGTGTCACCGTCAAACGGTGCTTCCCGTTCTGAGAGATTTGTGAATGTTATGCTGAAAAAGATTCTCTGTGGTTGAATAAGTTTGGGAAATATTGCATTAAACGAAAGAAGGACAGATTACCATATACGTTGTTCTACCCTAATATGCCAGTATGTATCCTGATTTCCCGAGGCTGGCAGAGAGTATGTTGCATCACCCCAACTTAAACGGTAGTTTTTGCTAACATCCCTCCTGGATGTTAATGTTCTGAGGGGCATAGTTTGAAAAAGGAGCTCGCGCGATGGCCCCAGGTGTCTTCCTTTCCCACCCCCAGCAGCCCTTGTCTTGCTTTTAGGTGGTGACAGAGGGTGGCTACAGCAAAGGATTTGGTAGAAAGATAGTGGAAGAAGTAGAAAGATGTCAGCCATTAAAGGCTACTAGGATGGGAACATTCCCGCTCCTTTTAGCAATTGCTTAAGCTGGCACAAGTGACAGTATGATGTGTCACCATTTTATCCAGGTCATTGGGCTAGTAGCTCTGATAATAAGGGCAAGGACTGAACCTGAGATCTTGCCCTGAAGGGTTCAGGGCTAATGGACATCTTGAGATGGGAGGCAGGACTCATCCCAGCTTTGTGGGTCTTCAGCATCCAGGCCCCTGGAAGGGACAGTGGAGTTCCTGCAGGGTGTCCTTGAGGGGATACAGTGTCTTACTTCTCCTGCTGCCACCCCTGACTCTGGGTCTTCTCCCTCACAGCCTCCAGCCCAGGCTGCATACTATGGCTCTGGCCCACCTCTTCAGCCTGCCCCCAGGTGGACGGCCCAGCCGCCCAGATCCTCGTGTGAGTGATCCAGCCCTTTCCACCCTCGGCCTGGCCTATGAGTGTGAGCCCCATGAGGCAGCATGTAATATAGTGAATATGAGCTTTGGGTTTAAGCCTGGCTCTGTCACTTCCCAAGGTGTTAATTTGAGTGGGTCACTTCACCTCTCAGAGCCTCAGTTTCCTCTTCTGAATGTGGGCCCGAATGAGGTCTGTGTAAAGCACCAAGCACCTGTAAAAGACTCACAATATAGCCATTATCTGCAGTTAGCTCCAAAGAACTTGTCTGATTTGTGACTGAAAATTCTTGCAAAGCTGAGAAAATGAAACTCCTTTGGCTGTATTGCTGATGAATGGTCCTTTTCTAAAAGTGAAGTTTACGTGACTTGAAACTGTCCGGTAGGACGAAGGTGTGCCATCATGACGCCTGTGCCTCTTGGGGCTCTGGGGAGACATGAGTTGGTTTGTAATAGCGGATTTCCATATTCCCCCCTCCCTGGGGTTCTGGGTCTACCTGACTAGGTGAATTCACTCATCTTTCTGCTGTGAATGCTCTGATTCCCTTTCCTATCCCCTTCCTCAGGGTGCAATGTGCCTCTTTCATCATACTCCCCGCCCCCTTCCCACCAACCTGTCTCTCTCCATTTTCTCTGTGCCACAAGCTGCCTACCCTCCGGCTGCCTCAATGGTTTGGACACCAGCCACGTCGCGGCGTCCCCTGGCCCACGTCAGCAGTGTTAGGCAGGCTTCCACTCAGGCGCCACAACAGGTGCCCCACACCCAAAGAGTGGGTGAGTGTGGGCGGGGCCAGGAGGAATGGGTGTGCAAGGAAGGTGGGGCAGGGCTTGGTGCTGGGTTGGCATTAGCAGGGAGTCAGAACCAGCCCCACCGTGACCTTGCCATTCACGCTCTTGGAGAGCCGGGCTGACTTCGGAGGCCGTGTGGCACAGTGGGCAATGTGCACTTTAGAGGCCCCCAGACCCACTTCCTGCGGCTGGCTCACTCTGTGGCCTTGCTAACTACTATATGGGATCACTTCATCTTTAAAATAGCAATGGAAACAGTATTTCTATTTTGTTGGGTGGGTGAATGAGATGATAAATGCAGGGGCTTAGCACCGGATTTGAACTTAGTAACAAGAGCAGCTGCGAACTAGTGCGTAGATTTTGACTGTAGGCAAGCACATCTGTTCCTTCATTCGGCAAGTGTTTGCGCATTTACGTGCTGGCACCAAATTCAGTGCTGGGGATTCTATGTGAACGCTTGTCTTTTAAGTTTTGTGGCTTTGAGGTTGCTGCCAGGTCCTAACATCCTGTTTGTGTCTTACAGCCAACATTGGTACCCAGACCACTGGACCCAATGTGGTGGGATGCTCGATGCCAGGCGGGCCTCTCTTGACACACAGATATTCTTTGGCGACACCCAATACCCCTGGGGTAAGGCTGGTCCAGCTGCCCTCTTAGTCCAGGCTCCAGGAAGCCTGGCTAGAACCTTGGCTAAGGCTCTGGCTCTCTCTGGGCCTTGTAAAGTTTCGTTTATTAACGTGTACCATCAACATGATTTCCCCGCCCTTACTAACAGGAGGGAAAGGAGCAGGATCATGTGTGTTTATTAATCACGATTTGCTTCGCCTGGGTTATTAACAAAATTAATTTGGATTTCCTTAGTATTTATGTGTTGCGCAGCAAGGATGTGATTAATCTGTAAAACAGAACTGAAAATATCTACTGCAATTAAATTTAAAGGCTGGATATTTATCTCCCTGCCCCACCCCCCAAGTCTCAAACTCAGCATGTTCATCTCCTATCTAGAATTTCAGTGGGTATGCTCCAAACTATTTCTTGCAAGATGAACAAGAATAGTCTTTAAACAGCAAAATGCTTTTAAAGTTACCAAGATGTGAAAAGGTCAGACGTATGCTGGGGATGTGGCCATGAACGCTCCTTGATCCAAAGTGCTTTATTTGGCACAAAGTGATTTTTAGTAAGGTGTGGCTTCGTTTGGCCTTTAGAGATTCCTGGCACAATGGAAAACATCTGTGTTAGAGTAGAACTTTGTCGTCTAGGCCACCGTGCCCTTGTCGGGGACTCTGTCCCACCCAATTGTCCATCCCTTGCCCCCTACTCCCCTCTTGCAGAGCCTTCCTGGAGGCCTGTGCTTACCTGACAGGGTTAAGTGTTTCGAGGCCTTGCCCATCCGTGGTGGTTAAGGGATGTGTCCCTGGCACTATGTGCAGGTCCAGGAGCCTGCTGTGTGCATCCCTGGAAAGGAGCCCTTGACCGCGTCCATGCTGGCCGCAGCACCTTTGCACGAGCAAAAGCAGATGATTGGTGAGTGCCTTGTTCCCCTGGCTGAGAGCTGGCTAGCCTGGTGGGAAATACCCTGAGTGGAGGTCAGACGTGAGGACAAGGTCCAGCTTTGCCGCTGACCAACCTGCTGGCCAACCTTGCCCGAGTGTCCTCTGCATTCTAGGCCCCGTTCTCTCATCTTAAAATACTGATCAGACCAGATATTCCTGAGGTCTCTTCAGCTCTGCTGTCCTATGACTTTGACTTAGTCTGGGAGAGACCTCCAGATGTGGGGAGGTCAGGGGACAGAAAGAATAGGGTGTGAAACATGATCTTGGGTTTCTGCTGGGATGTGGCCCATAAGATAGGTGTTGCGGTTCCTCACACCTCCCCTAAATGGGAAGAAGCTGTCACCACATTCCATCAGCCTCCCAGTAGAACCCATTGCAGGGTAGTGGGAAGTAAATGTGCATTAGGAAAATAAATGTTCCTCACTGGCCCCTGAATTCCTTGTGCAATTCATCTCCATCCCCAGTGTCCATGACAGGCCCTGCTCAAGGGTATCACGAACTTAAATGAATGAACAAACTCACTCGTGGCTGGCAGGTTCTTTTCTTCGTGGCCACCAAGTTCTCCTTAACCTTCTTTGCCTTGGTTGCCACCACCCCATTGTCTCCTCAGCTCACTTGGGGTTTTGCCACTTCACTACCCCACTTCACTACCTACCCCTCGAAAATTCTCAGTGGGGGCAGAAGGCTGTCAGCAGTTCCCTGTAAACGTCTTCACTTTCATCATGGGAAGACCTCTCCCCTTCCCACTTCAGGCACCCCAGCACCCCATCCTGTCCAGACCCTCCACACATTGCCGAGATAGGCTGACCACCAACACTGGGCCTTGTCACTAGAAGTACCTGATGGTGGAAGGTGAACTTATCTTGTATATTTGGCTCCCTGCTCCCCCAAAAAGTCAAGTTCAGCATTATTACAACCTGTCTAAAATTTCAGTGTATACTTGGACCTATTTCTTGCAAAACAAACAAGAGTAGTCTTTAAACAGGAACCAGCTTTGTGTCAGACCCTGTACAGACTCCTTCATGTATGATATCATATTTGATTCTGCAGACTGGCCTCCAAAGTGGGGTTTGCTGTGCCCACTTCATAGCTGGGAGAGGTTCCTGGTAAGGTTAAGTAACAGCCTGGAAAGGAGCACTTCTGGGACAGCCACCCAGATGCCCCAGCACCCCTGGGATGCTGGGCTATCAGCCAGGGGTGTGCATAAGCCATCAGAGGCTGTTCCATGCAGGTGAGCGTCTCTACCCCCTTATCTATGACGTCCACACCCAGCTGGCTGGCAAGATCACGGGCATGCTGCTGGAGATTGACAACTCAGAGCTGCTGCTCATGCTGGAGTCTCCAGAGTCCCTCAATGCCAAGGTGGGCTGGAGCTGGGTGGCAGGAGAGCTAAAAATAAAGGCATCTCCTAGATGACCTAGCAAGCTGCTGCTTGGACAAACTTTATCTTCTTCCTGATACCTCCGGAATCTTGGAGTGAGAGTGATTCTCTGCAGCTCCATAGGCAAGGTTTTGGCACAAGGAGCTGTGTTCTGACTCAGTATGAGGGTTCCCGTTTTCCCAGCTGTCCAGCAGTGTACATCTGTCTTGAGAAGGTGACCGTGGGTTTCTGTCGTGGGAGCCTGCAAGCAGCAGTCAGATGAGGGCTCTGCCGAAATGCTGTGGCGGGAAGGGAGTTCTTGTGTCTAGCGTGCTGAGGCAGGGGGAGGTCAAGGTTCTCCGAGGACCCTGCTGGGGCAGCTGCACTAAGCCCCTCCCGCTGTGTCCCACAGGTCGAAGAGGCTTTGGCTGTGTTGCAGGCTCACCAGGC